CCAATATGTATCATTTGACCTTCAGCTGAAAAATCTTAGTCCCATGAGATTTTTCTGCAGTTCTTCTGTTTTCTACTCCAAATCTACATGTTGGCAGCAGAAGTTAATCATACCACTATTCATCCACTTACCAACTCTATATAATCAATTTGTCTGATATAGAGCATGGATCCCCAACACGTATCCTCTGTGGTCTCCAGCACCATTTAACTGTACTCTCCAGTTCCTGCCTTCTAAGCAATTTCTCCAGGCAGGGACACAATCCTCCATCTCATGGCTGCTTAGTTCAACTGCTGTTAGCAATGAACCGTGCCAAATATGCTTTTAAAAGTTCTATATATAACCATATCTCCCCTTGTCTAGATGCTTGCTGGCTCCTTCAGGGGTCTTCTAAAGCTTTGTGCATCATGACATCATTAAAAATATACCAAGAAATCTTACGTATCTCTGTGCTCAACAACCCTATTCCCTGTTCTAGTTTCTGTTAACCTGCAGCTCATTCATCAGGCACCGGGATCTGTAGTTCTTTGATCTCCACTTGAGCCCCTTTCAAAAAACTGATGTCATGTTAGTCACCTTCTAGTCCTCTGGTAACAAAGCAGAAAATAAGAACAGGTGCTACAAGTGCAAATCAAGAATTCACATCTCAGAGTAAACTAAGAGTAAACTGTTGCAAGTTTCAGGTATCACAGCATTGTCTACGTTTTAAAGGAACACACCATAAGAGGTTACTCATCAGCTACAAGTAGCTCATTGTGTATCAATGACATCATTACTATCAGCAACTCTGAGATGTAACATCATCAAGAAAACTAGATGTTAAAGGACACGCTGCCATATAATCCATGGAATTGTGGGGAAATGGAGGGTACTAGAGCAGAAATTATGTAATGATAACTAACAAGAAGTAGATTTTTTTATTGTATTTAAGAGAATGTTCTTGCTTTTCAATCAAAAGTTCCACAGCTGTAAAAAACATAGTCACTTGTGTAACAGATCTTGTATAATTTAATATACGATGCTCTTCCACCTAGCCGTAATTCATTATTTTTGCTACTAACATTTCTGTAGCAAGGTCAAATCAGATATCACAGCACCTTTTGTATTTACAGAGTTCTGAAGAGAAGTCATTTACCTGGGGTTTTGCTCATTTTTCTTTATTATATCAGGGAAGTGAAACAGAATCACAGAATAGGTAGTGCAGGAAAGGACTTTAAAGATCATCTAAGATCCAACTCCCTTGAAATAATTCCTTGTATTCTTGACTTTATTTTCCAATTATGAATTTTAAATATTACAAATGTGCTAGTTCATTGTTGAAAGACAGCTTCTTCGCACAATAGTCTGGAAAAAAGGTATCTTTAATAAGGAAGACCTTCCTGAATTTATAACATGTGTCCAAGAATGCACGGGTGCTGGAGAATTCAGTAATTGCTACAACTTGAGTAAACTGACTCATATTTTAAATATCCCCAAATACAAACCTGCATTCCTTATTAGCAGCATATTTTAAGTTAGTAACCAAAGCAATCTATCAGGATGTGCAGCTGGAATACTGCCCCATCCACATTAGGAGGTTTATTTTCATTCTTCAGTTCAAACAAAATAAATACACTGAGCTACAAAGCTTCTCATAGACAAAAATTGAAGATTTACAAATGTAAAATTAGTTCTTTATACAATCATCCCAACATGCTGACACACAACTTTCTGTAGGTCTATTCCTAACATTCCTGGACTGGCTAAAGTGGTAATTGCACAATTTTCATTCTAATGTATCCATTGAAAATTAATTTTCCAACAAGCTTGATCAAAGGGAGTCCATCCTTATGTCACAGACATTTTACTTATGGTAAAAATAAGATGAGCATTAAAGAAAGTGCAGGGAAACTTACTTAAAGCCAACTTGGTAGCTGTCAACATGGTGAATTACATTTGAGAATCCAGAACACAGAGAATTCAAAGAGTGCAAATAAAACCTCCTAACAAACAACGTATGCGTATATGTATAGACACACATACCTATGTATCTGTATGTATAGAACCAAACACTTACATACACACACACTTGAACACAAAATACGTGTGTGTATATTTTATACAAACACACAACAGGGTATGTCATCTTAAATACTGAAAAACATAGGTCATAACACTTATTGAGCATCATTTCTATTGGGATCATCAGAACACTTAGAAGTAAACCAAGGCATAAGCCAAATGCCTTCTCAGGACCACCTGCAATTCTGAAGCCATTTATGCAGCCTTCGAAGAGCTAGAAGTTTCCCTGTACTACTTTTCTGGTCTCAATCCAAGCAATCACAATGTCTTGCATGTCAGAAATGCTACATATGATAGGTGTAGACCTATGTTAGAGATATTGTCTCCCAGAACTTGTTCTGTCTTTGATAAGTCTCTCATCTACGAAAACTATTTGTATTATGCTACACTGGTTACAAAATACAGTGACAGAAGACCTCAGTGATGATCATAACACATTTTAAAATGTGCTTTGCATCTCTGGAATTCCTGCAGCCTTCTGTGATATACCTGGTGTTGTTAAAAACAGATTTGGGGCAAAATATTCTTCATATGACACTCCAGATGTACATTTTCTCAGACATGCTCTATTCATTGCAACATAGCAGATGCCAAAGTCCAAAAGCAGAGCCAGAAGCCAAACAAAAATGACAATGTATGAACAATGGGTTCTTCAGCATTATTATTTGTCCTTTCTCACTAGCACACCTTCCACTCCTGTATTCTGCACCTTCACGCATCTAGCTGTAGAATTGACAAGCTGCTGCCCTGCATCAAAAAACATTAATAATTCTGGAGATCCCCTGGTAGGTACAGTACTACCAAGACCTACTCAATGAAGGCAATTCACACAACAAAGACAAATTTCCATTGTGCTAGTGTGATCCTGGACTGTTCAAGCACTGTGGTCACACACTGAAGACTCATCAGTACAAACAGAATTATCCTAACTGATGTACCCACCTAATGCACAGTCCCATTAAAATCTTTGGTGTATGAAAAGCTACACATCAGAAGTCACAATAGGAGCCATCAACAAGTTACACAATAAAAACCCCAGCTTGTCAAAATGACTTGCATGTAGGCTGATCACCAAAGAAAGTAAGCCTTTTACAGCACGAGATTTGTGGCAACTGCAGCTAAGGATCACCAGAACTACTAAGTGGTTATCCTTACTCACAGACTACCCTGGATTCCTTACTCACAAATTGCTATACTCTCAGGTTTAGATCAGCAAGAGCTATTCAAACTTCATATTTATGTCACCAAGAAAATTGTCATTCTGTATTAACCAATAGCTCCCCATCTCCTCCCAGTCTACATTCTGACCAATCTACCTCAGAAATGCAAATGCTAATTCTCAACCCTACTTCCAGTTCCAGGCTTGATCTCTAGGAAATTTGGTTGATTATTTCTTCTGATTCTTCACTGTTACGTGAACTCAGCACTTTCACATTACTTGGTCAACTCAATTTTATTGTACCCATTAAATCAGTGCCACACTCAAATGTATGTACATACAGTAATCTGTAGCTAACATTAAGGAGCATAGACAACTACATGACCATACCATCCACTGTTCACCTTCACCCTACACAAGACATTTTGAAAAGCAAGATCCTCTATATATTTTCATAGGACACAGTTTCAAAAAGCAGTAGAGCCTTTTGAAATCCACAGTTCAATTCTGTACTTTGGGGAAAAGCCCTAACCAAGCAGGGTCAAGGGGGTCCAATATCACATACAACTCCTCAGTCAGAAGTGCTTTTGCTAACAGAATAAGCATGTCTTCCAGGAAGGATTTGCTGCTTGAGAGATTCAAGTAGTTATACAGCTCTATGATGCATCACTCTTATCGTAGGCAGTTGGTTGTTATTTGCTAAGGATGGATTTCATCTAGTCATCATTAATAGTCAAAGTAAAATACCAGCTTAGGTGATTTACCCATAGCATGGCACTCTCTCCAGCTGCAACTCCTCCCTATTACAAGGACAAGTATGAATGACCTATTTTTGTTTAATTTTATGAGCTAATTAAATGTAGATTACAATAAAAGACTGAGCTGCTGGAATTGCCAGGTGCTGTGGTACTGGGTGTTCTCCAGTGACAGACCCCGGGCTTGTCCACCTCTGGCCTGAACCCGATTTTTAGGCATAAAACTAACAAGATTGCAGGTACAAAAAAAACACCAAACCAAACCAAACAAAAAAAAAAAGCTGTTGTACAATGTTCCTGCCATCCCTGTTAGAAGTACAGATGCAGAAAATGCCTGGCACTAATAACAGGAAATTGGCATTGCCAGTACAAAAGAGGACAATGAATCTCACTGCCAACCAGGAGTGGAAGAGTAAGACCAGAAACAGCAATTCCACCAGATAATCTGCCACATAACCAAAAGCCTAAGCCAGCATCTTAATTTGAATGTTTTACAGGTAAATGAGGCAATCTACTTCAATGAAATCCTAGGTTTTAGACCCATTTAAATCTTATTTTGAAAAACATGTCATAACTCAATAATTTGTAAATTTAGGAGCAGGTCTTTATTTTCCCTTATATTTTCAATCCACTTTTTCAACATTTTTAAGCATCTTTTGTCGCACTAACATATCCCTTCCTTTGACTGGAATCTGACAAAGTCAGTCTCTGCTTTAAAGATGCAGTTGTTGCTGTTCTGTGTGCTAATGACAAACCCACTTTGAACCCGTACCAGTAAGTTTAATAAACCCTTAAAATAACTTTTAAGTTGTTATCCAATAAAATAGTAACACCCCAACATGCAACTAAACACATGCTATAACACTGATGTTCATTAATACTTGATGTGCACTTTTGGCTTATTGTTTATTTAAAAAGATTTTGTAGTCCCATTTTTAATAAAAATTGTAACAGCAACTAAACAGTGTATAAATAACAGCTATCAGATACAAGAACAGGCAGAACCACATCACCATCATCTCTACCTCTTTAATTTTGTTCCTCTTCTCTCGGATATCCGGGTCTGCTGGTTCTCCACTGTTTATCCCTATAAGATTTGGTAAAGGAACGGGGGGCAGTGGCTTGCTGTCCTTCTTCTTCAACTCTTGCACTACTTTGTTCTTTTCTGTCTGAATCTCAGCTTGAATCTCATCACGTGATTTCTTCAATTTCTCCTTAGCCTCTTCCAGTGCCTTTTCATGATCTGCTCGGATCTTATTTCTCAGACGTTCCTCTTCTTCTCTAGAGACACAAATATTAGTCAGCATCTCATTAATAAAAACCACACTGCTTATAAACAAAATGCAGCTTCAAAACAGAACCCACATCCAAGCTGCTTTACTCTAAATAATTCTAATGACTCAGACAAGTTTACTTTATTATGCTTGATCAGCATCCTCCAGTCCTTTTGTCATGAACTCCAGAAGAACAGTGCACACACCAGCAACGTTATTGTGGAAAAATGTATCATTGTGTTTTATCTGTGAGCACCTTTGCTTGCCTACTCAAGAATTTAGAGAGGAAAAGCCCTACATCCTGTAATTCAACTACAGATGTGTGCAGAGGCACATCTAGAAATCATTCAGTTCAAGAAATAAGATCAGAAGGGCTCTTCCTAGTCTTGTGCACAATAAATACATAGTACACAACTTTAAGACCTGCAGTAACCGCCATTTGACAAAAAAGATTCACAGCCACTCCTTTTATTACCAATAAGTTGGGAACTGCAAGAGCTGCAAACTCCACCACAGCATGTTTTGTCTTGAATTCAGAATTCATTGTTCCAATCAGTGGGTCCATAAACCTCACACATTAAACGCAGAGTTAATTATAAAGCTATTTAGGAACATAAGAGCTTTCAGTAAAGCATGGTTTTGAAACTTGCTGTCAACAAAACCAACATCATCTTGGTTCCAAAAGCACAATCTTCTATAATGATCTTTAATGATCAGTAAAGATTTCGAGATACACATGCCTACTCTTTTAAAGCCTGGGTTAAACAAGAGACAAAAATGGCTCATTCCACTCTCAAAATATTCCAAGGCATCAGGAAGCTACACATCAGACTCTCAATATAACATAACCTTTTCAAGCTTCTTTAAAATACCAAGTTGCTTAGTGACTAATGTAAGCCAGAATAGTTGCAGGGATTTTTAAAACAAGCACTAGCTTAAAAAAAAAAGAAAACCAACAAAACAACCCACACCCCCTCCCAGCTCCTCCCCCAGGCAAAAATACTTTTTCCTCAAAACGCATTAGGGAAGAGACAGTGGATAATGGAAAGAAAGGCAGTCAAGCAGCAAGCCATGTAATAAATATCAAGCTTAGCCTAACTGCTTTTAGGAGGAATCACTTGACCCATATGGCATGGGGTTTTTTTCCACTATACTGAAAACATACCAATGAGGAGAAACTGCCATTTGATATGTGAGAATCAGAGAAGTTCAGTTGGAAGGGAACCCCAGTGATCATCCAGACCAACTGCAATTAAAAGCAAATCCAAAAGTTTACAGAAAAAAAAAAAAAAGAAACCCAAGATTGACAACTGTTAACCAAACATTGTCAAATATTTTTAATAAATTTTGTAGGGAAAATATCCCAATTTATATTATATAATATATTCCTCATTTTGTTGTCAAAGTCTGTGGTGAACTGCTTATGTTTCCAGAGACTGAAGTCAATATTAAGAAGCTTGCTGGGCTGCTGTGTTGGATTGCTTGGGGATACAGACAGATCTTACTGAGCTTTGCAAGTATAGCAGAACTGGTTTTATTAATCTCACAGATCAAGATCATATAATGTCATTTACAAGCACTGCTTCACCTTTACAAAAAGAAGGTCAAAGAACAAAGCTAATAATGAATAGCTTGCAGAGAGTTATTATACTATTGTATCAGAGCAATCCCACCGGACTGATTCATTTTGTGCAAGGTTTATGACTTACAGTCTTCTGCCAAGGGAGAGCTGATTTAAAGTTAAAATGTACTAAATCAAGCTTTCAGTTCCAAATATTCACCATTTAAACCCCCAGTGCACCAACTCTGACTGCTAGCTCATGGACACACAGTGTATTTTTTAAGGTAAATTGTATACACTCTTTTCCCCATTCTTTAGCTCGGGCTCAAAAGCTCCAAGACTTTTAGGCACACATTCTATTCTCAAGTTGACAGAACCGGTATCACTTGCTGTCTTTCAGAAAATAGCTCCCCAGTTTACAGGCCAATGCGCTTAGCATGCAGGGGGAAAGCCACAGTACTGCAACATAGATGGTCTCAGCAAAATGCGCTGTTACACAGAATGTTTTATTAGCCCTTCCATCTTTCTGAAGTGCTATTAGGTTTGAATTTTAAGAGGCTATAGCAGCATTATTACCTTTCAATATTTCAGTACTAGAAATACAATGCAACTTTTTAACAGATGGACTGACGGAAAGGCTTTGAAACTGAAGTTCCTCAGCCACTTTTCTCAACATGGCACAGAGCACATCCACATTTCTCCCAAACAATAAAAAACAAAGGACTGCGCTCCTCGACTTTGACTATCAAATCCAAACTCATTAACATTGTTGAGCAGTAGCAGTGCTTCTCTCCCTCAACTGCAGAGCAAAGAAACAACTTTCAAAGTGCCAAAACACTATTCTAAAGCAATATTTAAGGTAACTTTTACTTCCACAATGACTCACAGGAGAAAATAAGCTTCCTTGTATTTTTGCAAAAGTTACATTCGCTGTGGCAGTAAAGTGCCCAATTCTGTAACAAAACCAGCTGAAATCTCATACCAAGCAAAAGACTTGAAACCATAAATGTTTAGTCTGGAAAGCTTTTCAAGACTAGCAGAGGGCTTTGCATAAGATGCAGCTAAAGAGAATGAGAATGAGGTTGCCAGAACGAGACACATCATTCCCCAGAATCAAGAGGCAGCATGTTGTGCAGGAGCCAAAGAGATGGCTTACAGAGGATGAGAAATATGAAGCACTACTGAACATTTAAGAATCAGAACTATTTCAGTGTGGGGATAATGTATTTTGGAGGTACGGTTCTCATTTTCAAAACAGTTCCTGTAGGCAAGTGTCAGTGTTTACCTTCTGACCAGACCTACTATTTTGTTAATAAATATTGAAATTCTTTCTCCAAAAGAAAGAATTTTTAGAAAAACAGGATAACAGCCTCAGACCTTAAGAAAAGGATGGTCAAGATATACCCACATTAACTGAATTTGGAGATGATGCTTTACAATGGGCATGCTTTACTCATAAATAGAAAACTCCTTGGCAAAACCCCTGGTTCACATGCATGTCCCCAAAAATATGAAAGAGATTAATTATGTATATGAAGTCATAACGAGTGTGACTCACTAAAATGACATGCTTTGCACACCTTCTAGAGCAAGTGCAACGAGTATTCTGCTTTTACCTCTTCTTTATATTTTCAGTCCCAGGCGCTGCATACAACAGTAATAATAAAACCTCTATCGCTCTGCCATCTTCATCTATTTCTAGATTCAAACTGCATGAAACAGCCATAAATTGGAAAACAAGTTTTCAACTCATGTCTATTTACACTGCAGGATCCACTATAGAAACATAAAAAAAGCTCCTGATTTCTACAGCACTATGATACAATTAGAGTCATTAAGGAGATTTGAATGACAGTCTACTCACCTTCAGTCACTCAGCAGAACACCTGAGTATTTAGAGAAAATACACTGAGACTCAATAGAGATGAAAAACTCTATCACTAACTGTATGAGCAGCTCCAAGTCTTCCAGGAAGTGACATTTAGAGACAAACATGAGAAAACAGTAAGATGAAGAGAAAGGTCAACAGGTATTTGAGGAAGTTTACAGGAGATTGTCCAAGAGCTTCTGCAGAAATATCCTCCGTGCAATTACCAGAGACAGACAGCATGAACTACAAGAAATGTCATATTCTACATTCCAGCTAAAGACATATTTTATCAAATATATTCACGTATATAGAATCATAGAATGATTTGGGTTGGAAAGGACCTTAAGATCATCTCATTCCAACCCCCTGCCATGGGTAGGGACACCTCACACTAAACCATGTCACCTAACACTGTGTCTTTGACCAGACAGGGATGGAGCATTCACAACTTTGTTGGGCAACCCATTCCAGTGCCTCACCACCCTTACAGTAAAGAACTTCTTCCTTATATACAATCTAAACTTCCCCTGTTTAAGTTTGAACCCATTACCCTTTGTTCTATCACTACAGTCCCTAGTGAAGAGTCCCTCTCCAGCATCCTTGTAGGCCCCCTTCAGATACTGGAAGGCTGCTATGAGGTCTCCATGCAGCCTTCTCTTCCACCTTATGGGCTTAGCACGAGCAAGGGCTGAGGGTGCCAGTTCCCTGGTGGGAAAGCAGCACTTTGGCAGGAGGGGCATTCCTGGGGAAAATGACCATCTGCAAGTATGGGAAGGTGGGATCTTGTTACACAGCAATGACAGAGCACAGTTCTGCCCAGACGCTGCCAAAAGGATTGCCTTCCTCCTAGGGCTTGCCTGAAGCCCCACAATAGGACAACACCATCCGCTCTTGCTTCCATGGGAAGAGTGCTGCCCTGGAGGTGGCCTCGGCAGCTCCACATCCCACCTCTCCCATCAGCCTGTCCCCCCCACAAGGTGGTGGGTGCTGCCTGCCACTCATGTTTCTTCCAAGTTCTTAAGCAACAAGAACTAAGAAAGCAGTTCTGAAATACAGAATACTGAAAATGCAGAATAAAGAGAATTAGAAGATCAAAAACATGAGCGGCTGACACCACCCCCCCAAGTCATAACCAACCACCAGCAAGCTGCCCATCTAGCATAAAAAAGAGTCAGAAACAGTTTAATGCATGTAGATAGCACCACATTCAAATACTCAGAGTGAAAGAAAGGAGACCTCGGAAAGGATCTATCTAAAAATGTAAGATTGGAAAGAATCCCAGCATAAACACATATACCCAAATGTGTCAAACAGTTTCCCTATCCAACTACCCATCCCACCCCCGCTTCTAGGCAACATAAGCAAACTCTTAAGATATAGAGTATTTTAAGTAAATCTTCAAAACCCCTTACCTAACAGAAAGCTGCTGCTTCCTTCTAGTGTCCCCCCTTTTCCCCCCCAGTTTACTCTGAAGTCTCAAGACAGAAAGGTTCAAGTACCATGAAACAACAGCAGTAGCTACTTTAAAACAAGCAGTATTATTAAACAAATCTGCAATTAGACTCTCTTTTGCCAG